GTGTGTGTGTGTGTGTGTGTGTGTGTGTGTGTGTGTGTTTGTGTGTGTGTGTGAGACTTGGCTAACACCTGCCTGACCAACATCCAGGAGTCAGAACAATCAGATTTGGAAGATGAAAATCTTTCTTTACTGTTGCTGAAAGCTTTAAGTGTGGCTGAGAGTCCTGACGACTCCCCTGAGWTTGTCGTCCAGCTGCTGCACAACCGTCTTGTTCAGCTCAGACACTTTGTGTTACTGCTGCACTTTGTGAATGCTGGGAACCACCATGCATGTCCCAGTGTGGAGCCAGCTGACTCAGGCTCTTCTCCATGTGTCAGTGGAATGTAAGATGATTTGAACTTTAATGTGGAGAACTTCTCAGCGTGTAAAAAACTGTGCTTCTCAATTGGCATGAATGATTTCCTGACAAATAATGTAATCTGGAGCTTTGGCTGGAAGAAACGTCTGTTTTTGGCTGCTCTCGTCTTAGAGAGTCAACTCACACTTGGGCTGAAACCCTCAGATTCAGGATGAGTTCTGATCAGAACAAAGAAAAATGACACGAGCTATACCTGCTGCCTTTAAGAACACAAATAATGCAAGAGTCAAATATTTAAAAAGGTTTTAAAAATATTTAAATATAAACTACATCTTTAAACATTCATGTCAGAGTTTTGCTTTTGAATTAAAAAATAATATCAGTTTCATTTTTCTTTTGGACCTAAGTAGAAATGATAAGGGTTCCTTTTTTGTGGTTCTTTAGCTTTATGTTCAGTTTAAAAATTATTATTGTATGTATCGTGTTTTTAAAAAAATTAGACCAAAGTTTAAAAATATACTGATATTAATCAATAATCATTTACATGAAAGTTGGGCCTACATGACCTGTTGAAGTCGTCTTTTAGTAGACACATATATCATGTAAGGTAATACAAACAACATACCAGATTCACATATTTACCTGTAATTTACTATAATTGATATACTGAGAGAAAACCTACAGGTGCTGAACATGAACATGTAAACTCCACACAAACTGTGTTCATGACTCATGTTTCCAGAGTTACTGGTTTCCAGCTGGTATGTTTGGGGCTTTGTAGAACTGGACCTTGAGTCTTTGTCCATGTGTCTCACTGATCCTTCCTGTCAGGTTCTACAGTAAATGTTATTGAAGATGCTGTGGGCTCCTTCAGACAGGCTTGATTTTTGTTTTTATTTATTAAAAACCTTCTGAAAAAGCTTCACAGTTAAAGCAACACGTTAAAAAAAACTTACATCTTCTATGTAAAGTACTACGTCTTATTGTAACAGGCTGCTCACTGTGAAATCCTTCAAATTGATCATCATTTTTCCCATGACTGATATGAAATGATGAATTATTTTACTCAGTTTGAAGAGGAAGAATAACAGCATCAGGTCCTGGTTATCAGAACTGTGTGCAGCAGCAGCTGATCTGAGTCCACAGGTCTCAGTTTGTCACATGTAGAGTCACACTGAAGAGCTCCACAAGGTTTCAGACTGTGGATGATGGTTGATTGTTTCTTTTGTGTCCCTGATGGAGACTGGACACCTGTCCAGGTGTCCCCTGCCTTCAATGGTGAATATGAATAATGGTAGGGGAAACGCTACACACACACACACACACACACACACACACACACACACACA